CTGGACAAGGTTAATAGCTGGCACAGTAAGAGTAGGTATTTCCATACACATCATTTTCCAGCTTTGTCTTTGTGACTCTAGATAGGGTGTGCAACGGTGCATATGAAACTGACAACAATGGTTACTTTAGGGAGGGGTCTAGAATAGAGGAGGGGGATAATAACCTCTCTCTCTCAGAATCTTGCTATGTAGCCCAGGCTGGTCTTGAACTCCAGCCGATCCTCCTGCCTCAGCCTCCACAGTGCTAATTTTACAGGCCTGCCCCACCACACCTGGCTATATTAGCTCTCTTTGTTGGATTCTCTTCACTTGTTACACTAATGTGTTACTTTTATATTTAAAAAATTGAAACAATCCCAAACATACTGAAACACTAGAACCCAGAAGAGACTTTCCTTCAGAGCCACTTACAGGTAAGGGGCCTGTCTGATGCCCATCACCCCGAATGACCCCAGTGTGAGTGCCACAAAAGGGGCACCACCTACATAATCACCGCACCAGGCCCAAATGAGGAGAGCAACAATGAAGCACTGCTGCTAATCCCAACCCCTCGTTTTGCCTGGTACTTCAGTAATGCCCTTTATTTTATTTGTTTGTTTGTGGTAGTGAGGTTGATCTCAGGGTCTTTGCACTGAACTACATCCCAGCTGCTTTTACTTTTTATTCCTTTTTTTTTGGTACTGGGGATCAAACTTGGGACCTTGCACTTGCGCGGCAGGCGACAGAACCACTGAGCTAAATCCCCGGCCCTTACTTTTTATTTCCTGAGATAGGTTCTCCCTAAATTGCCCAGGCTGGGTTCAAATTTATGATCCTCCTGTCTCAGCCTCCTGAGTAGCTGAGATTATAGGTGTGTACCAGTGTGCCTGCCTCAATAATGTCCTTTAAATTTTTTTTGTTTGTTTTTTGTTTTTGGTACCAGGGATCGAACTCCGGTCCCTGCGCTTGTGCAGCAGGCGGCGGAAACCACTGAGCTAAATCCCCAGCCTGAATGTCCTTTAAATTAAAAAAAAAATTTCTGGGCATGGTGGCACATACCTGTGATCTCAGCACTGGGGAGGCTGAGGCAGGAGGATCTCAGTGAGTTCAAGGGCAGCCTGGGCTACACAGTGAGATTCTGTCTCAAAAAAACAAAATAACTACAATGACGACAAACCAACCAATCCATGCATAAAAATTTAAAAATCTGTATCTGTATCTTCAGTGCAGATTTCATTATGCTTTTTCTGGGTTGGGGGAGAGCAGCTCAAGTGTTAAGAGCACCTGCCTAGCATGCAGAAAGCCCTGGGTTCAATCCCCAGTAGCAGCAAAAAAACCCAAACAATAACTTTGTTTTTTAAATTAAATCTTTCATCACTTTTTTAGCCTGGAATGATTAATCAGTCTTTTTTTTTACTTTTGTGACCTCGAGTTTTAAAATTTTTTGAGATAGGGTCTCACTCTGTAACCCAGGCTAGCCTTGAACTTGCAGTGATTCTCCTGCCTCAGCCTCCTCAGTGCTGAGGTTACAGGGATGTGCCACCACACCCGGCACAACCTGACCTTTTGAAAGAGCACATTGTGTTCATTTGTAGACTGCTCCTCAGCTGGGCTTGTCAGATTCTTTGCAATTAGAGCCTACGTCTGCCTCTTGGTAGGAGTACTGCAGACACAGTGCTGTGTTCTGTCTCCATCAGGTGACAAGGCGTCGGTCCATCCATCCCATTTCTGACTCTGTTCTCTCCAAGGTAGCATCTGGCAGGTCTCCGCGCTGTCGCCTTTCCCCTTCATGATTAATAAATGTCTGGGGTGGACACTTACAAAGTGTGCATTGCCTCGCTCAGTAAACAGCAGTGTGGACATGTGGTTGCTTATGACAGCCAGGACTGGAGCCCATCGCTGTCCTTGTCCCCACGGAAGCCCAAAGTGCCCCTGATCTGGACAGCAGGACCACTTCAAGCTGGCTTTTCTGTCCTTTCTCTCGCCCCTATCATTCCTTCCTTCAGTACTTCTGTGCTTTGTTTTGTAGAACTGGGGACTGAACCCAAGGCCTTCTCACTGAGCTACGTGCCAGCCCTTTAAAATTTATTTTGTGTTTATTTTGTGGCAGGGTCTAAGCTATTAAATTGTCCAGACTGGGTTTAAACTTGCAAACTTCCTGCCTCAGCCTCCTATAGGGCTGGGATTACAGGTGTCCAGTGCTGCTCTCAGCTACTTCTTTGCTATCTACTATAAGATTGTGGGTTCATCTTGCAATTTCTTTCTCAGCCTTAGAACCAGCCCTTTCCCTTGGCACCCTGGACCTTATAGTGTTTTGGAATTGAGATTTGGGGACAGGCTTGCCTATTGCTATTGGAAGGGCTGGGGTCACTTCTCCAGACCTCTTGAGAGACAGAGCTGGGACAGAGCCATATATGCTTTTTTTTTTTTGGTACTGGGGATCAAACTTGGGACCTTGTGCTTGTGAGGCAGGCGGCAGAACCACTGAGCCAAATCCCCAGCCCTATGCTCTTAATACTTATTTCTGAATCTATCTCTTTGTGGGTTTTTGAGACAGGGTCTTGCTTTGTAGTTCAGGCTGGTCTTGAACTTGCTATGTGTACCAGGCTGGCCTTGAACTCATGGTGATCCTCCTGCCTCAGCCTCTAGAGGGGGGATTCCAGGTGCTTGCCACCATGCCCTGCAATTTCTATATCTGTCTCTTTGTATTAAAAGCCAAAATTCACATCAGCATCTCTGATTTTTATCCAGCACCACAGACTTCTAGCTTTTGCCCTTTCGGGTTTTTGTTTTTTCTTCTTCAACTGTGAGTTCTGGCTCTCCTGTTGTCCTGTGGTGGCCACCCTTGTCCACACTCAGAGCAGATGCCTCCTGTCCCTGCTGGGGCTCTCTCTGTCCTCAGGGGCTGTGCTCTGCCCCCATCCTCCCTGCTGCAGGATCACCCTGTGGTCAAATGTCCTACCCAGGCCATACATGACTTGCAATCCTCCCTCAGCTTCTCAGAGTGCTGGAATTACAGGCGTTCACCACCTGGCTATGATCAGCATTTATTTTGTACCTGCTGTATACAAAGCTTTTTTTTTTAAACCAGTGTTTTACGTACATTGTCTCATGTAATTGTTATGTCTGGTATAAGTTTTTTAATTCCCATATCACTAATTGAAAACTCAGAGGCACTACATAACTCAGGGTTGTGGAATTTTCTGAATCTAGATTGAGTTTCATCACTGGGAACAGAACAGGGGATTGAGAGGGAAAGTCTCAGCCTCAAGCACAGACATTTAGGAAGTGTCAAATCAAGCCAGGTGTGGGGACACACGCCCGGAATCCCAGCATGTGGGAGGCTGAGGCAGGAGGATTACAGAGTTTGAGGCCAGCCTGAACTACAAAGCAAGACCCAGTCTTAAAACAGCAAAAAAGAGGAAATGTCAAATCAGATGGAATGCTCCTCTTTCCACATATGCCTGATGGTCCAGGACCAACCGCTCCTGCTGTCCCGTCATGAGCACACCAGGGAGGGTCCTCAGTGACGGTGCTCAGACGGCTCCAGGGAGAAGCAGCCTGTGTCAAGTGGGAGCAGCAATCTGATTTTCCAGGGCGCTGACACCCAGATGGCATAGAGCAGGAAAGAACTTGGGCGAGGAAGCGCACTGAGGAGCATCTAGTCCTAAAGGGCGCTGTCTGTCTGTCTGTGTCTCTCCCAGGCTGACCTTGAACTTCGAGTCTCAAGAGACCTCCTGAGCGTTCCAAGTGCTGGGATAACAGCTGTGCACCACCAGGCCTGGCCCCACGCAAAATTTTTATGGAAATATAATAATCACTGAACAAATTAGGCTCGTGTTACACTCTCCAGACACCTGGTGGCGACTCCCAGGCAGGCAGCTCAGGTGTGGCCCGGGGTGGAGGTCGCCAGGTAGAGCGGTCCACACCGCCTCCCATGGGGGCCTCCCTGTGACCCCACTTCCAGCCCCAGCTAAGTCTCACAGGGTGGGCGGACCTGGGTCTCCAGCTACAGGCTAATACACACCTCACTGATTTGCTGTTCATTAACTCTTGTAAAATGCAAAGAACAAGGCTCTCTTCATAGGGCTCAGGAAATTATTACTGCTCAAGCTCGGAAACTTGTCTTACACAAGTGAAACTCAGATGAGATGTCACTTTATTAATTCAGCATCAGAAATGCAGCTGGCCTGAAAACCCATCTCTCCCGGTCAGGGCATCCTCTCAGGGTGTGGAAGGCCACCTAAGGAGCCAGGTGTGGTGGTGGTGGTGTACTCCCAACTCAGGAGGCTGAGGCAGGATCACAGTGGGTTCTGGACTACACAGCGAGACCTTATCTCAGAAAAACAGAAAGCCCTGGCATGGTCTGACAAGTATTCACTCTAATTTAGGGTTTCAAAGGCCTGTGTAAAGCAAAGCAAAACAGAAATCACTTCCAAACTATCCACTGGTCGAACACAAAGCCAGAAGCCTAGAATTACAGCACGTGACCTGTGCGTGTATCAGAAGGGGTGTAAGCTGCAGAAGGGCAGCCTCATGCAGAGGCCTGGCTCGCAGATGTGGAGGCAGGATGTGTGCGTGTCCCTGTGGGCAACTGTCTCGAGGGTGGCACAATGTTTAGTCAGGCTACCAGCCCCTGGACCCCTGTGAAATAACCCCTTGGATCTGTGGGACGTCACAGCTTACACTTCTTAGTCACTGTACACACAACCTTGTCTAATCAATCCTTCCAACTGCCCGAACAGGCAAGCCAGCCCTGTGGGAGCCAGGTGCGGTGGTGCACACCTGTGGTCCTAGCACTCGGGAGGCTGAGGCAGGAGGATTGTAACAAGTCTGAAGCTAGCCTGGGCTACACAGTAAGATGCTTTCTCAAAAAAAACAAAAACAAAAACAAAAACAAAAAACGGACAACCTGTGTGATGCCCATTTTATGGATGTGGACAAATTATTGAGGAAAGGTAGACATGCTGGCCCCTAGACCAGCTGGGCTGATGCTAATGAACGACTTTCTCAGCAGACTATGAGCTCTGTACCATTTATTCACTAGCACCTGGCCTGTCTCAGCCGCCGTGCCAGGGGCTCCTGCTTCCCACCTCTCCCAAGGGCAGCTCGTCCGAAGTTCCTGCCCATGCAGTTCACGAGGAGGATAAAGAGGTTCAAAGGCTACGGCTACTCAGCACTGCACTGCCCTCGAAAAGCCGTAGCCCAATGTGGTGGGCAGTGTAGTGTAGCTACAATGGCAGCCTTGAATCCCAACCCCACCACATCAAAAGCTGCATTTCCTCCTCTATAGCAAAATGGGGATTAGGTGGGAGTGGTGGTGCATGCCTGGAACTCCAGCACTTAGGAGGCAGAGGCAGGAGGCTTGCCAAGAGTTCAAGGTCAGCCTGAACTACATAGTGAGACCTTGTCAAAAAAAAAGGTTGGCTTCTAGTTTTGCAGCTCCGTGGCAGAAGAGATGTAAAGCGTGTGTGCGTGGCAGTGCAGGCCTACACTGCAGGACGCTGGTATGGATGAGGTGCAGAGGCTAAAACAGACCTGGCTTTTGGAGATGAGATTGGCAGGAAAGGGCTGTCTTGAGGGATGGGAAAGGGCCACGTAGCACAGCACCAAGGACTCCACCGGGCAGGGTGAAAGTGGTTCCTGGTGGCTCAGGTAGCATTGGCTGCTCAGCTGCTGACAGCGGGCCTCCAGGCCAACCTGGAGCTGGCCAGCCTGGGCAGCTTCACAGACACCTTTGGGTGGCAGGCTGGGCCCATGGGTCCCTATCTCGTCTGAACTGTTCCTTGGCACGTGACGTTACAATGGAGATTTGGACCTGCACAACCGCTGGCCAGTTTTCCCAAGGCAGCCCAGCTCTGCATCAGGCCCGAAGTCAGCCTTCGGGGGAGGGCAGCCCAGGCTGCAGGGCTTTCACAGCCTGGCTGCAGGGTTTCAGACAGACTCTCACAGTTCTAACCCGTTCCAGGTAAGATTCCGTTGCACTTTTTTGCTTCATTATGAGGTGCAGGCCATCTTTAACATCATAGTTCCTGCCAGGCATGGTGATACATGCCTGTAATCTTGGCTACTCAGGAAACTGAGGCAGGAGACTCTCCTGTTTGCGGCCAGCCTGGGTAACTTACTGAGATTCTGTTTTCTTAAATGGCTGAGGATGCAGCTCAGTGGTGGAACACTTGCCAGTGTGTGAGGCCTTGGGTCTAATCCTCAGTACCCCAGAACAGTGGGCTGCAGCTCCTATGTGGCTCCGGCGTGTTCACCTGTTTCTTCACCTGTCACGGCTGTGCCCGTGTTGCAGGCCAGGCCCACTTGTGGAGTTGGGACAGCTCTGCAGCTGTCTGGCCACTGTTCTCCCTCCTGACCCCAACTCCGTAAGGCTGCAGTTTGGTAACTGGCTCTTTGTCTCTACTCTCTCTCCTTTAAGATCATTCTCTGCTTTTTTTCAAATTTATCCTCCTGAGCTGGGATGGTGGCACATGCTAGAACCCTAGCCCCTGGGGAGGCCACTGAATGCTGCCTTGTATCCTGAAGAGTGCACTAGAACCCACTGGGGCTGCAGTCTCAGGGCGGGAGCTCTCAGAAGGCAGCCCAAGCTGCAGAAGCCCGCTTTCCTTCTGCCTGAGCTGTCCTGCACCTAGGGCCACTCTCCCATACACAGCTCTTCAAGTCAGATCTGTCATACAGCAATCACTTCCTGAATGCTTATTAGCTTGTGCTTTGGCAGCAAATCTTCACAAGTCTCAGAAAGAAACTGAGTAGGTGCCAGGCACGGTGAGGCAGGAGGCTGAGGCAGGAGGATCACTGTGGATTCCATGTCAAACTCAACATAGTGAGACTGTCTCAAAAACAAAACAAAACAAAAACCAAAAAAAGGGTCAGGGATATAGCTCCACCACAAAAACCAAAAATGAGCAAAAGGGTAAATGGTATGCTGTGGCTACCCCAGTTCTGTTGGTGGCCCCTTCTCTTACCAAGAAAAGCTGAGTTTCCTTTACACCCAACTCTAACTCCCATGCTCCTATAGGGGTCCATGAGCACAGACAGGCATAGGCCCCATGGTGGTGAGAACAACTAGGCCGAGAGCAACTGGAGGATGGCCGAGGGGGGACATGGCAGGTTTGGCCACAGCAGCACCACCTCCAGGAGGCTGGGGACTGTGAGGCCACCAGACCTGCTCTGTGGGCAACAGGGGCCCCATTTTTTCCCTCCATCACCCCTGACTAGGCTTCTCTCCTCAGCAGCTCAGAGGTAAGGTTCCTCAGTTGAGTTTTGTGACCGGAATCTCCAAGGGGCTGGCCAGTTGCTTCTTCTGACTCTGGTTCCTCCACTGTCATGAGAGGAAGGTCTCCATACTTCGTATAGCAACTAAATCCTCCAGAGGTAACATTTATAAATCATACTGGTAAAACCTTTTCTTTGTAGAAAGGGTATCACTATGCTGCCCAGGCTGGCCCCAAGCAGCAAACACCCTGCTTCAGCCTCCCAAGCAGCTGGGACCAGACAAGTGTGCCACTGCTCCTGGCTTCCTCTCTTAAGATGCTTAATCTGAAAAAAAGTGTTCTATTTCTTCTCTTTTTTTTTGTTCTGGGGATCGAACTTGGGTCCTTACGCTTGTTCAGCAGGCAGCGAAACCACTGAGCTAAATCCCCGGCCCTCTATTTCTTCTCTTTAGCCACTGTTCTCAATTCCCCTCTTCCCAGGGCTAGTGCTTAAAAGAAACACAAATGTGAAACCATTCAAGCAAAACAGGAACAAAGATGATTTCCCTTGAGTCCTAAGAGTCCAGAGAAGAGCGTGGGGGAGTCTGGGCCAGAGACCCCAGGAGAAAACGGGGAGCCATGTGTGAGGCCAGGCCCCAGAATCAGTTCAAACTTGGAAGCCGTAGGGGCTGAGACAGCAGAGCCCGACCTGTCAGCCTAGGCCAGTGGTGGCAAACTTACGGCATGCATGCCAGAGTGAACTGTCTGGATCACTGAAAGCTCTACCAGGTTCGCCATTGCTGGCCCAGGCCCAGCCCAGGCTGGGTTGATGATTTCTTTCTTTCTTTTTTTTTTTTTTTGGTACCGGGAATCGAACTCGGGACCTTTCGCTTGTGAGGCAGGAGGTGGAACCACTGAGCTAAATCCCGGCCCTCCAGGCTGGGTTAAACATCGCAGCAATACCGAGATGCTGTCCTTTCCTCGCTCTGCCCACCACAGTGCAGGCTGCTGCTCTCTCTGTGCCCCAGGCCTGGACGTCTCTGCGCAGGGTGAGGAGGTTCCATAGGGAAACAAATGCCCAGCAGAGCCTGAGCCTCAGTAGGTGGCCAGCGGCTGGCCAGGCAGCAGCCAGAGCAGGCAGATGAAGAAGTTTAATTTACATAGCAGCCACGTGGGGCCCAGCTGGGGTGGGTGGGGCTGAGCAGACTCTGAAACCCCAAAAGGTACCACTTCTTCCCCCTGGACACAGTCCTCATGGACCCTCGGATGAGGGCCCCTAATTGTGCACAGGATGCTCCAGTCGAAAAGAGCAGAGATTTGTGCAGAAGGCTGACCCAAGTCGGGGAAGGCCACAGCCGGCAGCCGGCAGCTCACTCGGTGTTCTGGGCACAGTCCCTACAGCCCACTAGGGCAGCCTAGAGAAAGCCCTCCCGGCGGAACTGCTCCTGGAGGAGGGCTCGGTACTGGTCAAAGCCCCCCTCGACCCTCGTGACATTGCCTCCTTCACACACCCACAGCTCGCGGCACACCAGCTGGATGAAGCGCTCATCATGGGACACCAGGATCACGCCGCCCTGAGACAGGAGAGCAGGAGCTGTCCGAGGCCTGTGGGGCGCCAAGGCTGGGGAGGAGCAGGGCAGAACAGGCCAGGGAGGACACTCACCCTGAAACTGTTGAGTGCGTGGCCCAGGGCCTCGATCGTCTCCATGTCCAGGTGGTTTGTGGGCTCGTCCAGGATGTAGAAGTTGGGGCTGGAAAGCAGCAGTGGGCATTGATGGGATGAGAGTGTGCAGATGAAAATGAACCTCTTTGGCACGAAGAGGACAGGGCAATCGGGGACTCACCAGGGCATGGTCATCTGAGCGAAAGCCACCCGGCTCTTCTGGCCTCCAGACAAGCTGGCAACAGGCCGCATGGCCAGCTCCCCCGAGACACCATAGCGGCCCAGCTGGTGGCGATACTCCTCCTCCGGCCGGCCTGCGAAGGTGCCAGTGTCTCTACATGCCATGTCCCGTCCCTGGGGTGGCTATTCCACACTGACCCCAGGGAGGCCTCCTGCTCAAGTTGCCCCTCACGCACCTGGGAACTTGCGTGCCAGCAGCTCCACAGCGCTGACGTTCAGATCCAACTGCTCCACATGGTGCTGGCTGAAGTAGCCAATCTTCAGATTCCTGTAGGTGGAAGCGGAAGCAGCAGTGGTGGCAGTGAGGGCTGCAGGAGGTGGGTGTGCGGGAGCATGCGCACGTGGCCCCCGCCTTACCTGTGGGCGTGTCTGATACCTCGGACAGGCGCCAGGTCCCCCATGAGCAGCTTCAGCATGGTGGACTTTCCCGTCCCATTCTCCCCAACCTGCAAGAAGCAGTAAGGGGAGTGTGTGTGTGGAGGATAAAGGGACAGACCAACCACCAAAACATGCCTAGGCGACTATGCAGATAAGCGAGCCAGAGATGCCCAGGGGCCAAGTGCTGGGGACTGACCTGTGCCCATTACCACGCAAGGCAGATGTTTCCTCCCTTTTAAGGAAGAAGAAAGTGCTTGGTAACCCGGCAGGGGATGGTACAGCCAGGACCCGAAGTCTCACCCCGAAACCAGGCTCCTGCCTCAACGCCACGTAACCGTGCCCAGTAAGGTTAAAGTGCTGCTCTAGTATCTACAAAGTGCCCACGGCAGGCTTCTCCTCTGAGGGTGGTCCTGTGGGCCCAGAGGACAGGCAGGGCAGTGTCAGGGCAGCACTCGCTCTCTGACCGACTCTTATTCCCGGGCCCCTCTTCCTCCTAGGACCCAGCATCAGCCCAAACCACACCCAGGAAACACACAGCAACCATACCACACATATGCGAGACTCTAGATCGGCAGAGACCGACAGGCGACTGAAGATGATATGCTCAGGATTGTAGTAGAAGTCCACCTCATCCAGCTGCAGAATTGGCGGTGAGAACTTCTCAAACCCATCTGGGAACCTGTGGGCGGTGTGGATGGGTCTGGATGTGGCCAGAACAAGGGCTTTCCCCACAGCCCCTGGCTCAGCACTTACTTTATCACCACCTCCAATTCCTTGTCCACTGGCTTTAGCTCCGGTCTGAGGGGAGAGATGGGGAGACTAGGTTTATGACTGCAAACAGAAATGATGGCCAGTCGAAGTCGGGTGGCTGCCTCAATGGTAGAGCCCTTGTTAGCATATGTGAGGCCCTGGGTTCCATCCCCAGCATCCCAACAAATAATGAAAATGAAAAAACTTAAAATCCTCTTGTGCGAGTAACATAAGCTCAAAGAGAAAACTTAGAAAAGGCTCGCTCATGCTCCTCCTATCCAGGTAATATTATCCTCCGAGTACACTGTTTTAGTTTACTACCTGCTGAAAAAGATAATCACCTTTCTTGTAGCGTGTTAAAAGTTTTATTCTTGCATGCTGGGAATGGAGACCAGGGCCTCATGCACGACAGGCAGGCACTCTCCTGCTGAGCTACTTCTGTGTAGCTTTTCACCTTCGGCTAATATACTGTGGCGTTCCCATGTCAGAGTTCCAAACTGTGTGAAGTTCATCTCCCTCCCAGGACTCCTAGAAGCTGCTTCAAGATTAAACCCCCAGGGCCGGGGATTTAGCTCAGTGGTTCCACTGCCGGCCTCGAAAGTACAAGGACCCGAGTTTGATCCCCGGTACCAAAAAAATTAAATAAATAAATATTAAACCCCTAATGTGCAATATCATTAGCCATTAAGGGAGGGCCAATTAATTGAAGCGACAAGATCTCACTGACTGTGAGTGACACATGGTAGAGCACACCTGTAATCCCAGCATCTGGGAGGCTGAGGCAGGAGGAATGCCGTGAGTTTGAGGCCAGCCCTGGGTTCCACAATGAGTTCAAGGCCAGCCTGGATGACATAGCAAGTCCTTGTCTCCAAAAAGAAAAAAGAAAACGTCTCACTGTGACCATTTCACACCCAAGCCGGACAGCTAAAACTTTAAAGCGTTAAGACCTAGTACTGACAAAGATGTGGAGAAAATGCAACTCTATACAGTACTCAGAGGAATGTAAAAATAGTGCCTTTATTTTTCTTCAGGTTGTTTTTTTTTTGGGGGGGGGTACTGGGGATCAAACTCGGGACCTTGAGCTTGCACAGCAGGCGCCCGAACCACTGAGCTAAATCCCCAGCCCCGTAGTGCCTTTACTTTTAAAAAGTAGTTTGGCAGAGCCTCAAAAAGTTAAATATGGGGCCAGGGATTTAGCTCAGCGCTGCCATTGCCTGCCTCGAAAGAGCAAGGGCCCAAGTTTGATCCCCAGTACCAAAAAAAAAAAGAAATTGCCATATATATCAGCAAATCCACGCTTAGGTGTGCACCCAGATGAAAAGAAAACATATGCCCATGCAAAAACTTGTACACAAATGTGCAGTGTTTTTTGGAGACAGGGTCTAGCTTTATAGTTCAGGCTGGCCTTGAACTGAAGGGCATCCTCCTCCCTCAGCCTTCTGAGTGTTGGGGTCACAGGTGTGCACCACCACGCAAGGCAAAAGCATTTTTCTTAACAAGTAAACTGGGAACAACCCAGGCTCATCATCTATGAATCAATGAACTAAATGCTACGTAGCCACACACTGGAATGGAACACACACAGCCACACACAGAATGATGTACTCAGGCGCGCCAGACGGACGACCCTGGGAACATGAGGTGAAAGAAGCCAGACACCAGAAGTCACACACTGCCGATTCCACTTCTATGCAAAGTTCACAGTAAGCAAACACACACAGCAGACTGGCGGCTGCCCAGGCAGGCTAACCTCCCAGGAACAGCACACAGTAGTCTGCTCTCTAAGGGAGGGAGGCATCAAAGCAGGCTGCTAGCCAGGGGGACCCGGAATGGGGTGGGGCAAGAGGTGGCCTGCAAATGCAGGAAGAAATGGCCAGGTGCTGCAGTGCACACCCATAATCCCAGCACTCCGGGAGGCAGAGGCAGGAGGATCATAAGTTTGAGCCCAGCTCAGGCAATTTAGTGAGATCCTGTCTCAAAATAAAAAATAAAGGCCAGGCCAGGCACAATGGCACACACTATACTTCTAGCACTTGGGACGCTGAGGCAGGAGGATCGCTGTGAGTTCCAGGCCAGCCTGGGCTACATAGTGAGCTCAAGGGTAGCCTGAACTGCAAAGCAAGTCCTTGTCTCAAAAAAAAAAAAAAACTTTCACAAAAAATAAAGGCTGAGTATGGTGGCGCACACCTGTAGTCTCAGCACTCGGAAAGCTGAGGCAAGAGGATCATGAGTTCAAGGCCAGCCTGAGCTACACAGTGAGACCTTGTCTCAAAAAGCGGGGGGTGGGCCGCTAGTGATGTAGCTCAGTGCAAAAGCCCTGGGTTCAATCCTCAGTACTCCCAAAGGAAGGGAAAGGGAAAGGGAAAAAGGGAAAAAGGGAAAGGGAAAGGGGGGAAAAAGAAAAAGGAAAGGAAAGGCAGAAGAAATAAAGAGAACAGGAAGAATCAGAGCCTGTCCAAGGGCTACTCACAGCCTCTCGAGCATCTTGAGTTTACTCTGCACTTGAGAGGCCCTGTTGGCATTGTAGCGGAAGCGGTCAATGAAAACCTGTGGGAGGAGGGAGGCCTTGGTCAGGCTCCGGCAGCACCCCAGCTCCGACACCCACAGATGGGATCCACAGCCCTGCCGGCCCCACACCTGGATGTGCTGGCGATACTGCTGTTGTGCTTCATACTCGCGCTGCTGATTGAGCAGCCGCTCCTGCTTGCTCTTGATGAAGGTCTCAAAGTCTCCCCGGTAACTGTCCAACCGCTGGCTGTGCAGGTGGATGATGTCTGTGGTGATGGCATTCAGGAAGTTGCGGTCGTGAGAGACGACTAGGATTGTGGAGGGCCATGTCTGAGGGGTCACAGGATGGGAGTCACTCCCAGGCCCTCAAGGATCTTGGAAGCTGACTTTCCCCAAACCCACTCCAAAGCCTTTCCTGGAACTTACCTGCAGATAATTCTCCAGCCACAGGATGGCCCTGATATCCAGCATGTTTGTGGGTTCTGGAGGAAGTAGGAGAGCTTGTGTTTGGGATTGAAGAGCCGGAGAACTCGGAAGAAGGCTAGACCCCCTCCCCATTTAAGAGCCAGGGTGCCCCACTTTAAACTCACCATCCAACAGCAGAAGGTCTGGCCTACAAGAAAGAACACGTAACATGGGTCTTAGGCCAGAGGCTCAATTTTGTGTTCCAAGGGCTATCCTGCACAGGGCTCCCTACACAGGCCCAGGAGACTCACCTAGCAAACAGGGCCCGGGCCAAGGCCAGTCTCATCCTCCAGCCTCCTGAGAACTCCCTACAGACAGACAGACAGACGGACACACCACATTAGGGGTGGGTGGTTCACCAGGGCAAACAAAAGCAGAGTCAGCAGTGTTCAGAGCCAAGATTGACCAGGGAGACTCACCGGGTGGGCTGCTGCTGCATTTTAGGGGTAAACCCAAGCCCAGCAAGAATGACTGATGCCCTAGGAGTAAAGAATTGAAAGATGCAGTTGGCACAGTTTACAGGATGGACAAGGGGAAATCTGACAAAGAGGAGGGAAATCTGAAATACCTGGCGGGTGCCTTGTCGGCCTCAATCTCCTCCAACTTGGCGTAGATTTCAGCCAGCTGTGCAGCTTCTGAGCCCTCTGCCCTGGGAAGGAGAAACAGCAACCAGGCTAAGTCGGAGCCATCTAGGAGGATGACCTATACCCCATAAAGATAGCAAGCAGGCCACTGGCTGCTTGTTGCCAGGACAAGAATAGAACACAGAAGGACTTGCCCAAGGAGCAAGGCCAAAGGGCACTCTGCTGATTACTAGGATGGCCATGTGAATCACGGGCTGTGAATGCATGATGGGCACCCTGTGAAGGACACTACTAGGCATTCCCCAACCCGGAGCCCGGAGCCTGGAGCCCGCACCTGCCCGCAGCAATCTGGGCACTGAGCTCCCGCTCCCGCCGCAGCAGGTCCTCTCGCACACTGTCGCTCTCTAGTACGCTCTGCAGGGCAAGAGTTTCATCCCCGGCAACCTCCTGCTCCACATGCAGCAGGGAGATGTGGGCTGGAACCCGCAGGCTCCGGGTGGCCAGCATCTTCAGCAAGGTCGTCTTCCCCAGCCCATTCCGCCCTACCAACCCATAGCGGCGGCCCCATGCCAGGTTCACATCTGCTCCAGCCAGCAGTATCCTGCAGGAGTGGCAGAAAGGAGACGCAATCACAGCAAGCTTAACAAAAGAATCCTAACACTGTTTTTATCTCTCCAAATCCTCCCTTAACTGGTCAAAGAAAAAGCTCCCCCCCACCCCCCGCCCCCGTTATTCCCTCACCTATCACCAAAAGACACATCAAAGTTCTCAATTCGCACATCATAGGACTTGTTCTTGCCAGATGATTCTAACCGATTCTCCTTTCTGCTACCTGCCTGGCTGGCTGATGCCTCTTCTAGGACTCTTAAAGGGAGAAATGGACAGATTTTAGTGCTCCCAGACCCTTCTCTCCTGGCAGTGACTGCTCTGTTCTCTGGTGAGCCCTTCTTCCTGAACTCACAGAGGGTTGCTGGTCTTCAGCGGGTCTTTCTCTGAGCGCTTCTCCTGTTTGGCCTTCAGTCGAGCCTCAGCCTTCTCCAGCTTCTTTGCATTCACTGTCTAAATGAGTTCCAAACACAACCATTTACTCTAGGGTGCCGGCTCAGAGAAAACAGCTCAAGTAAATCCTCACCACTTACCCGTGCCAGATAGATTCAGAGGTTCAGGGAGAGACACAAACCAGCAATCCCCTCCTCCCCAAAGATACTCCAACCTCCACCACAGATACATTCCCCTCCCTCTCTCCCTTCTCCTCACCGAGGACTGTTCCCTCTTTAGCAGCCCTGGAAGTCTCATGTCACAGTCTGAAAGTGATTTAAAAAACAGCCGTCACCTTCTCCCTGAGGAAAAGGAAACTAGGATTTTGACTAATAAGAACCAAGCGTACAGAGAGACATTTTAAAGAAAGTGTTACAATCCTGGGGATTGTAATCCCAACCCCCTCCCAAACAAACACAAAAAACCCCTCACATATAAGGATATAGAAGTTGAGGCACATGAACAACTTTTTTTTTGGTACCGGGAATTGAACTCTGGACCTTGTGCTTGCCAGGCAGGTGCAGCACCACTGAGCCACATCCCCTGCCCCTCACAAACCAGTCTTGCAAGTTGCAAAACCAGGGGTGGAGGGTATTAAGCTAAGTTTGTCCATCTCCAAGGCCCATATGCTTCCTACCATAATACTCAAGAACTCGAAAAATCCTCCACCCTTCTTCCCTTCATCATAGGCTCTTTGCTCTCGTAAACATGTCAACTGGCTCCTACAACCCTTGTCCCGAGCTGCAGGGGCAGGTGACTGGGCGTGGACGCTGAGGAATGGACGGAGTGCAGCTAGTTCAATCTCCACTCACTCTTACCATAGTTCTCCGCTATCTTTGACAATTGGATGGGGGCGTCCAGAAGAACCTGGCTGTGTCCCTGGCTCTGTGGCTCAGCCCTACGTGGGTAGGGACAGAAGGAACAGTTAGGACCCGAGGGAAAAGCTCTACGACCATCAGACTTTGTCCCCCACCATCGGCCCCTACTCCGGGCGCGTACAGGCGCAGAGTGTTGTACATGCGCTGGCACACGGCCCTGATGCTCGCGTCATCCTTGCTGTCCCCGGACACCTCCTGCAACAGTTCCCCCACGGCTTCCACCAGGTCATCCACAGATTCGAAGTCCGCACTGCCGCTGTGCAAGACGCCTGGGTCAGGAGTGGCGGGACGAGGAAGGTACCGGTTAGGGCGGACAAACAAGCACTTTCAGTGCCCGAACCGCGTAACGGCCCCTCGGGACAAGAGGTCACGCAGAGGAGAGGCCTGGCAGCGGTCCCCAGCCCGCCCTCTCGGAATCTTTGCACCCGACCTCCACTTAGGCCTCCACAGCCCGTAGATTAGGTTCGGCTCACCGGTCACGTAGTCGAAGACCTGCCCGTCAATTTCCGGGAACTCGCTCCGCAAGATCTCGGCGCAAGTCGCCATGTTCCAGTCAGGATCCCGTCCGCGCAATCGCCTTGAGACTTCGGCCGAGACCCGCCCCCTGCTCCCCGCCGCGAAGCTCGCTCCTCCTTCCAAAGCGCATGCGTATCGGTGACGTAAGAAAAGCGCGGAACCCGCCAGGCTGGGTGAACGCGGTTGGCCGAGCTAGGCGCAAGCGCCGATCAGTCTAGTCGGAACTGCTTCTTCTGCGCCTGCGCGACCCTTGTTCGGAGGCAAGATAAACCACAGGTGCGGTTCTCAGTGCCTCCTGGGCGGCGCAGATCCCGAGGCAGAGGGGTGGGGAGAGGGCACTGGAAGTTTATCAGGGCGCGGACGCGCGACGCCTTAATGGTCCCGCGGGTGGTAGCCCTTCCAGAGGTAGGCCGGTAGAGTACCATTGGCTTTGCAGGGTTTTAGGCGCTCACTGGAGGCCCATCTGCTGCAGCCCGCGGAGTGCTGTGCTGACTCACTGCAGCCCCTGAGCTCAGACGCCCGGGACTCAGGCCAGTGCTTCCTCTGGTTTTGTTCTGGTCCAGTTTCTGGTCTCAGCCCCCACCCCGCGCCACTTGGGCTGTCGTTTCACACTTTCATGCCAGCCAGCCAGGTACAGCCAATGCCGTGTAGTCCTTCCACCACGAAGAACGCAAACTCCCGCTGCCAGAGGCCACAAACCCAAATAGACATCTTGGCCTATGTATATTCCCTGTCTACCCCCAAAGCTACTTCTCTGCATCCCAAATTCCTGTCAGTAAAAGACCTTTCCCTAAATGACGCTGCTTTATTACATGACTATTCTTCCAACAGGTTCTAAAATTGGGGTCTAAAATTACATTGTTATCCTTTCATCCTTTCAGATTAAGCATTGCCACAGCAAGGAACCAGTCCTACTATTTAAAATTGATCTTTTTGATATAGAGTCTTGCTATGTGCCAGGCTAGCCTGGAACTTGTGATCCTCCTGCCTCAGCCTCCCAAGTGCTGGGACTATAGGCATGCCCCACCACACTAGCTCCTGATAGTTAAAGTTTAAAAAGCTATTGGTGGGCCGGGGATTTAGCTCAGTGTTTTCGCTGCCTGGTGCATAAGCGCAAGGACCCGAGTTCAATCCCCGATACCAAAAAAACAAACAAAAAAGCGCTGTTGGCCCTCTAGATCTAATAACCATTTCACAGGAAATGCACGTAAAGAGGATGATGTTAAGTGACTTCAGAGGAATCCAACAGGCAAATTCTGATGAGGAAACTACACAACTCCAGGAACAAAATTTTAAGAGCTGAAGAGAAAGGTATGAATTAAGATGCATTAGCCACTCACAGCGGACCCTATTTGGACACAGGTTGCTGAAAACTTCGTAGGATTCCTGATTAAGGGAAAACAGTGGATTCAATGATAAGGAACTTGGCCCTAAACTGATCGTGCTGAAGTTGGTCGGTGGGACATGGGTGTTGTTATTCTGCTCCTGTTTATGTTTGAAATTTTCTAATAGGTTTGTCTTAAAGAGCTGAAACCAAGCAAGGGTAAATTGTCGAGGGCAAATCTGCTCTTTTATCTGTCCCAATGTACTCCCCTCAGGTCCTAGCTCACTACTACATTTTTCTCTGGAGATGTAGAAGTATCCACCAGAGGTTTTCTAAGCACCATGGGGGAAAATAAAATTTCCCTCTCCCCCAAGACTGGAGGAAGCCTGGCTAAATGGGAAAATAAACTGAGTTCAGCTTCTTAGGATGGCTGCAAGACCAAATGCCAAATGTAAACCTTGACTTATGGTAATTAAAAACTACAGTGGACCCCTGACTTACGAACTCCATTTGTTCACAAGGGCTGGTTGTAACTCATGTTGGTCAGTGAAGGCTCACATCCTTCAAAGTCTCTCTCCAGTTTACAGGCAGATCTCAGTGTCCTTAGAGACATTATCGTAGGATTTCTCAACCCCACACAGGAAAGGATGTTTTAATGTTCCTTCCAGAACTCTTTAAGGGTTAAGTCTGTATCTGAGACCATCTGGGAGCACAAGGAGCCAGCATTCAGGTCATAACTCAAGGCTTTGGTTGTAAGTTAAAACTAAAATTCTGGTCGTAAAGGGCCCACTGTACTTCCAAAGAGTGGGTTAGAGAAAGAATCAGCCCTCAGGAACTTGGGCTGGGTTGGGGCTGATTGCGCTTGAGGCTCTTTTCTTAGAGGACCCAGGAGACCTGGGTCAACACTTCTGAGAAGGGATTGGATGGCCTAAGAGGGGCCTAACTGGGACAAGATGAGAGAACTTGGACAGCTCTCATGATGGAAAATTCTACTCAAAGCAGGCCCCATAAGAAAGTTTTGGGAAGGCATCCCATTGGTTCCCCGCCCCTGCACCTTCTACATCAACACTTAGCCAGCAACTCCACTCTACAGTTTATTGGGTTTGTAACTGGACGAAGTCACACGTGTACAAAATGAAGCTCACACTATCCCAAAGCAGAGTAGGGACTGAGGACTGGGGATCTGTTACTGGCCTTTGGGGGGGGCTCTGAGGTGAGGGGCAGCCAACCCTCCCACTCCAGAGGTGTGGCCACAGGGGTGGGGAGGAGAGGGGCCCACCTGGCTTTGGTCCCAGAACTCAGAGCCTGGCACTGGGCCAGGACAGACGATAGATAGAAGGGCAGGAGCCCCAGAAACCACCCTGCCGAGGAGCCCAGGGACTGCTCTGCCAGTCCCGCTTTCGATGTGGTTGGTCCAGACCTAGACTTGGGGGCTGGTGCAAAGGGAAGGTAGCAAAGCAGGAGGGAGGAGACACTGATGCGTGGTGACCTGGGGGCACCTGGACCATGGAGGGTGGGTGGGGAGGTGGGCTAGCTGTTTGCTAGGCAGCTAGCAGCGGGTTTCATAAATGCCACTGCGGCCAATGTAGCGCACCCATTTGATGACGTCATGGTCGCTGTAGTTCAGCTTCGGTTCAAACACCTTCAAGTAGCGCACCTTGAGGCCAGAAGGCGCGAATGGCACCTGGGCAGGGGACAGCTCGTTAGGGATGTGACCTTCCTCCCACCGCTGCTCTGCTCTATCTCAATCTACTGCAGGTGTTTGGATAGCTAGGGTCCTGAAAGAAGCTGGGGAAGCGGGGGTGGTGGGGAGCCCTCTAGAAGGTTACTAAAGAAGCAAGTATAGGGCCAGGGATTTAGCTCAGTGGCACCGAGCCTGCCTCACAACCACAAGGTCATGAGTTTGATCCCCGGTAAACCCCCCCCCCCCCAAAAAAGAAGCAGGTATATCCAAGAGTAACTAGCAATCATCCGGGGTTTAAAGTCAGGCCTGCCTGTGATGACTTGAATCAATTCCTTTAATCAGCAGGATGCAGCAACTAGAGAACTGCCTTAGAACATACTTATCTTGCTCAATATTATGGATTTGAAAAACAAGGTGGAGAAAATTGTATGTCTAACTGCTCAAGGCAAAGTCAGCTCTTTGCCCTGTCTGTAAGGAAACTTGCTATCTCACCTGGCATTCTACTTAAATTTTTCCATAGAACTGTTTTGTGGCAAGCCAAGAGAAGTCAAAGTGTTTCTCAGGGTGATCAGTAATTTCTCTTAAGAGGCTTGAAGGGAAAAGAAATGGGTCTGAATTAAAGTCACGCCCCTATTCTAGCCTCAGTGTCCTCATCTCTAAGGTGCAGAGCTCATGTGAGCTCTGTCTCAGATCTTTCCCAACATACCCTGCCCTGGTGCTAGGTCCCTCTTCTGCCGTACCTCAAAGTTCATGGAAATGGGGGGTCGAGCCCATTTCTTCTTGTCATTAGTGGGCAGAAGCTCAATCTCTGCGCTGATCTGTGATTCCTTCATGCCTGCCATGCGCTTGATCCTGGAAAGACAGCAAGTGCCTGTGGTGGTTTGGATGAATTTGGGGCCGAGAGGGGTTGTCCATTTCAAGCAGGGAGAGCCCAGGGGCTTCAGAGAGGTGCTAGCACATGGAAAATTAGTCAGGACCCTGAAAACCACCTGCTGTGGAACCTTAGGTCTGGTACTTACTCCTTTGGTACTCTGGGCTGCAGTTTCTGCTTAGATACATAGACAAGCTATCTCTTGGCCTGTGTCTGCTTCATAGATACATCACAAGGATGCATGTGTGAGCCCCAGTGCAGGCATGTATATGCACGCATGCACACACACATATCAAGGCTGACACGGAAGCACACTCCCCCTCCTGCCCTCCAACCCACACTAGGGGACAAAGGGTGGAGAAGGTACACTGTGACATCTTGAGCCCTGCCATGTCCCCCTAAAGGAAAACTCACTTCCACACAATGGCGTTCTCGCTGGCCTTGTACTTGGCCTTCCCCTTCATGCAGATCACCTGCACTCCACTTGTGTTCAGGGGGGTTGGGATCCTCACCTAGGAGTGACACATGGGAGCTGTCAAGGCCTGACACAAGCTGCCTTTATTCCTAGAGAGAAATTCTTCCTCCTCTCCAGTCCCTTCATCCTCACCTCAATCTTCTGAGCCAGCAGTGAGGGCTTGAAGTTAGATTTGATCACTACCTTGACCTCCAGTTTGGTGCGTCCTACTTCCCGTACAAGTGGAATCACCCGGAAAGGAAGGATGATGTCCTTGGTGGTACGATACCTTTGGGGGTGGAGAGCAAGGTTGGCAACACACAGCGGGTCCCACTCCCTCTCCCTGCCAGCAGCACCCCTGCCTCCTCACAGCCCAGAG